CTTTACAGATCACAAACCAACGTTTGCCTTCCACAAAAAAAAATGAAAAAGCCTCACTCAGACAGTTACGTCCTGTGCAACATATCTCGAAATTTTCAACACCTATGCGTAACATTAGCGGTAAAGAAAATATTGTTGCAGATTCATTATCCTGAATAGAATCTATATCTGAATATCCCAAACGCTATACGCCCAAATCAATAATGAAGATCTTATCGAACTACGATCGAAACCATCTTTAAACTTCAAACAATATCCTTTGGACTCAGGTAAATTACTTTGGTGTGATATTTCAACAACAAAAATTCGTCCATTTATACCTCAAACATATACAAATATTCCAAAAAATTCACGGCCTTGCTCACCCTGGTGTAAAAGCTACAGTTAAACTAGTAAATTCAAAATTTATATGGATGAACATACGAAAAGGCATTACCCTATGGGCAAAGTCTTGTATCCAGTGTCAAATAAACAAAATTTAAAGACATACACGGGCACAATTTGCGAATTACGAAGTGGTAGATAATAGGTTCAGCCTTATTCATATTGACATCATAGGACCGTTCCCTACTTCCGAAGGAAAAACATACTGTCTTACCTGCATTGATCTGTTCACGTGTTGGATAGAGGTTATTCCTTTGTCAAATAAAACTGAAACAATTGCTCGAAAATTTTATAAGCACTGGATTTCCCGATTTGGAATGCCTTACAGTGTAATCACAGATCAGGGTAGTCAGTTTAAATCTGATCTTTTTAAAGATGCCGGTGTAATTCGTAGATTTAATGTAGGCTCAACAACATATCACCCACAATGTAATGGGGTAATTGAACGGATCCACAGAACACTAAAGGCTGCAATTAGAGCACACAATTCCATTAAGTGGACACAAACTCTATCAACAGTGTTGTTAAATTTATGGTCGGCTTTACATGGTGATACAAATTACACCATTGCACAAATGGTTTACGTACAACCTATGAGGTTACCTGGAGAATTTTTTAAAAAACCAAAAATTAATTTGGATACTGACAATTTTGCTAAAAATTTACAGAAACAAATCGAACTATTAAAACTGCTAGAAACTCGTCGACAATCTTCACAAAAGGTTTTTGTACATAAAGACTTACATAATTGTACATACGTCTTCATACGCATTGATAGAGTTAAAAAATCACTAAAACCTCCTTATAATGTTCCCCTATCCAGTTGTAAAAAGATATGACAAGTATTTTACATTCTCAATTAAAATCAAAGAAATTAACGTATCTATAGACAGATTAAAATCAGCATATTTGCTGAAGACTGAAGATGATATTCAGGATTACAAAAAATCGGATAGTGCACAAACATTGCCTAAGGAAAAATTAACCGAACACATAGAAACTGAAAAGCAATCATATTTATTGTATAATAAAGTTCAAAAAAAGACTACACGCTTTGGTAGGCACGTAAAATTTCCAGCACGTTTTAAAGATTGATTCATATGCTATTCAATATTGTTATTTTATATTAATTTCATTTGTATATATTGTATATGTAATATTCTCATCATATCGTAACTATACTGTTATTGGGGAAGGAGTGATGTATCAGATAATTAATTTACTATGCTTTCATTTACATAAATATAATAGTTATAATCCGATGTTACAAAAAAATCACGTCACCTGATGAAATAAAAAGGTTAGACTGTAAATTAAGGTGCCCCTTGAATTACCGCCAAGTTGTTCTCCGGAATGAGCGATGGTGTTTTATTTATGGCAACCCGCACATAAACTTCTAAGTAAGATAAATCATTTTTTTTAAACCTGCATATCATATAACTCGCCTTTTCATTTTATGTCATTTCATGGTTTCTTGATACAAAAGCACTTTATTTAGATTAGAATATTTTTGTTTTCGGCATCATTTAATTTGGCAGGGCATTTTACGTAGACAAAACACAATTTGTTCAAATACAAAAATTTTAATTTTCACCAAGGGGCACCTCTAAATATATTTTTACCATAAAAAACTTCAAGTTATCGCTTTTAATCTCAAAATTTTAGTTTTTATTAACAAACAAAATTTAATAATACCAGAAAATACAATTGTAGAAAGTGTGAATTTATATATTTGAAAGGATATCAAATGATATTAACTTATGGATGAAAATACAAATGAAATACTAAGGATGAAAATACAAATGAAATTTGTATTTTCCCGGGAAAAAACTGGATCATACCTTGTGATTTATGAATCTAATGTGAAAGCACTAATGGAATCATTATTTTCTATTCATATAATGACACAAAATTTTGGATAATTATCTCTTTTAAGAGAGTCCTCCTGTAAAATGTTGACATTTAGTTTCCTATCTTCTAGAAACTAACTCGTTTATAGAGTGCCCTAATTTATTGAATAAAGCTTTGGTTACATAAAACTCATCTTTGACGAGCAAGAATTAAACGAAGTATGGTAATTTTTAAAAATTATGTTATTGAAGATATCGAAAAATCTCGTCACGATCCAATCGTGATCTGAAGATATTATTAAGATGAGTATATTCTAAAAGTATTCTTTCTTCCAACGGTGCATTAAGAGAAAAGTGGGAGGGAAACATGATTACAAGCTTTATTAAAAATGACAGTCACTTTGATTTCAACCTTGATATGATTTATATAAATCCCTCATGGGCTGCAATGGTGGCACAACTCAAAAAACACGCATTTTGGACTAAGAACAGGTGTAAATATAAAAATACACATTCTTTTCAGCAGCAATACTAGCTGAACTCATAATTCAACTTGAAGGTAATCTTCGTTTAAGCAAACTAAAACATTTCTTATGCATTTTGATTAGCAATGAAAACTTTAAACCCCTTTTTTTCCCCAATGCCCACATACAGCTCAAAAATGGAAATTTAACTTTAATGCACCATCAAACAGAACAACATCTCCTTCTCCTAAAAAAAACTTCTAAAATTGACAACTCAGAAAAAACCTCACCTTTCCCCAAGCAGCTCATATCAACAAAAATACCCAAGTAAAAAACCTGGCATATCTCGGAAGAAGAAAGATCCTAAGTACAATCAGTACGTCAACCAATCCACTTCTGGTGCTCCAAAGAAAATGGATCTTGACGTAGAATTGCCCTTTCACCCTTCCGACGATGAATTCATATTTGACTGATCTTTTTACTTGGCGTTAAATTACAAGAATATCAATTCATTCCATAATGTCTATTAATTTTATATCCTGGAATTGTCGTGGAATAAGAAATAAACTTTCAGATGTCAAGGATATTATTCATAAATATCAGCCTGCATGTTTCGCTCTGCAGGAAACTCATTTAACGTCATGTCATAATTTTAAATTTCATAATTACTCTTGCATCCGACATGATTTTGATGATGGAAGTCATCCTCATGGCGGAGTTGCAATTTTAACCTGCAATGCATTACCATCTACTCATTATTTATTATCAACTACATTACAAGCAACTGTTGTCCAAATTCACATTAATGTACTCCTCACTGTTTGTTCAATTTATCTACCTCCTAATACACCTGTGTCTCAAACAGAACTAAATTCATTGATTATACAATTACCTTCACCTTTTATTTTGCTCGGGGATTTTAATGGCCATAGTGAATTGTGGGGTAGCTCCGTCTCCAATGATCGAGGACGTAAAATAGAGCAACTTATACAGGACCATAATCTATGTTTGTTAAACCAAGGCGAGGAGACTTACTTTCATATGCCGACCCATACCTTTCACTCCATCGATTTAGCATTATGTTCACCAGATCTCTTGCCTTTCATAAACTTTTCTGTGAGTTCACAATAGTGATCATTTTCCACTCATAATTTCATATTCTAATAATGTTCCCATGAGTCCTAAACCATCAGTTTTCATACATCATCGCGCTAATTGGCACTTATTTACTCAACTTGCTCAGATTACTGATGCTACGGTAACAGGTAACAACGTAAATGCCGCAGTGAATACTGTAACTTCTGTAATTATAAAGACTGCAGAAGAGAGTATTCCAAAGTCTTCAACTGCTCCTCCTCGTAAGCCTTGGTGAAATTCAGAGTGTTCTACCGTTTACAAGGAACAGAAACGACTTTGGAGCCTCTTCCGTCGTTCACCTTCCACATCAAATCTTGTAGCATTTAAAAGAGCTAAAGCGTTTGCTCGTAAGGTCCGACACCGTAACCAAAGAGAATCATGGAAACGCTATATCTCATCTATATCATCAATGACATATCCCAAACAAGTTTGGTCGAGAGTAAAAAAGGCAAACGGCATATACCGCGAATTTCATTTCCCTATATTAGAAAAGAACGATACAGTCTACTCTGCTCCCATTGATGTATGTAACATGCTTGGTGAGACATTCGCCGCTATCTCTAGTACAGAGAGTTACAGCCCGGTTTTCCAAAACCATAAACGCAACGCTGAACGTCATAATATCAATTTTCACACTCGTCGATCATCTTCATACAATAGCAATTTTACATTTCTGGAACTACAAAAGGCCTTATCAACAGCTGCGAACACAAGCCCTGGTCTCGATGGGATAACTTACCAAATGCTCCCCCATTTGGATATTACGTCTTTGGGTAACGTCCTGGTTCTATTTAATAGACTATGGATGGAACAGACTTATCCATCATGTTGGCGTGAGGCAATTGTCATCCCCATATTGAAACCAGGCAAGGATCCTAAGGACCCGAAAAGCTATCGCCCTATAGCTTAAACAAGCTGTCTGGGAAAGACCTTTGAGAGCGTGGTTAATACCCGCTTAGTATATTTCCTAGAAAAGAACCATCATATACCTGAGTTCCAGAGTGGTTTTCGAAAAGGAAGGTCTACTACTGATAACCTTATTGCTTTAGAGTCACGAATTCGTAAAGCTTCTGTCCGACGTAACCATTTTGTCTCTATCTTCTTTGATATTGAGAAGGCTTACGATCGGACATGGCGATACGGAATTCTTAAGACACTCTACGATATGGGATTTCGGGGTAATTTACCCATCTTCCTGAAGAACTTTCTGATGAAACGGTATTTTAGGGAAAAATTGGGTTCTACGTTTTCAGACCTCTTCGTTCAGGCCGAAGGCGTTCCTCAAGGCAGTGTTTTAAGTGTCATTCTTTTTATTACTCATGTTTCACTCATTTTGAACATACTACCACCTGATGTATTTGGCTCACTTTATGTGGACGATCTAAATGTTTCAAGTTCTGACTCTGATATGCGCGTTATTGAGCGTCAACTTCAGCTGGCCGTAAATAAGATTTCAAAATGGTGCGAACAAAATGGTCACACACTTTCACCCACAAAAAGTTCTTGCATACATTTTTGTCGATTGCGCAGATTACACAATGATCCTGTTATTTCTAATCATAACGTTAATATACCTATTGTGTCGGAGACAAAATATTTAGGCGTAATTCTTGACAGCAAACTCACTTTCCTGCCCCATATTCGTTATCTTAGAAAACGCTGTGAAAAAACTTTAAATGTCCTACGTGTTCTCTCAAACACTTTCTGGGGTGCGGATCGCATCGCCCTAATTAGAATCTACAAAGCGTTGATATTATCACGCATTGATTATGCTTGTGCAGTCTATGGCACTGCAACTGCGTCAAATTTGAAGCTGTTAGATACAGTGCATCATACTGCAATGCGAATCTGTAGCGGCGCATTTCGAACGTCCCCAGTCGAAAGTTTATATAGTATATGTAATTTATCATCTCTCTATTTTCGACGTATGCAGCTCTGTCTTACATTTTACTTTCGTGTTATGTCATCTAAATCTCATCCTCTTCGACAGGAGGTTATTCCATTAAGCTTACGACGATTATATGATGCGCGACCCTCATACACACCTCCTTTTAATGCTCGTATGCGTACAGTTATTCAGACATTCAATTTTTGCGAATCACCATCTCAATCAACCGATCACTTTCTTAACAAACCTTGGATTATTCCATCATATCACTTTTATTCTCCATTTGCTTCATACAAAAAATCCAGTATATCTCCTAGCGTGTATATTCAGCTATTCATCTCTCATCGTCATGAGTATTCTCAGTATGTTTCTGTTTTTACGGATGGGTCAAAATCTCCAGGGCATGTTGGATGTGGAATCATTATAGCTGATCGAACATACAGTTATATCATACCTGCCATATGTTCTGTATTTACTGCTGAAGCTGTGGCCATTCTCATAGCTCTACGACTTATCTCATCACTGACCGCACGAAAGTTTTGCATTTACTCTGACAGCCAAAGTGTTTTACGTCAGCTGAATAATCATGTAAACAACGAAGCTCACCCTATTTTATGTATCATTAAACATCTGTTAGTTAGTCTTCACAAAAGTGGTTTTAACATTTTATTTTGTTGGATTCCCAGCCATGTTGGTATTTCAGGTAATGACATGGCTGACTCTGCTGCCCGATCTGCTGCAACTCCATTAACACTATCAGTCCCAATTTCTGACATGAAGAATTACATACGACAGTTTACTATGTCCTTGTGGCAACAACACTGGGATTTACAAATTGAAAATAAACTGCACACAATTAAATCCACGCTAGAACCTTGGCCTGTGTTGCAATTGCGCGGAGCAGATGTCAAGCTCACCCGTCTACGTATAGGACATACTCGGCTGACTCATCTTCACTTGCTGTTCGGAGAACCGCCTCCTCGATGCGATACTTGTAACGTTTCACTTTCAATTCATCATATTTTAATCGCTTGCCCATGTTTTAACCAACAACGCCTTATCTTCTTTGGAAGCACGATTTTATATATAAAAGACTTGTTAGATAAAAATCACCATCCTAACATCTTTGCATTTTTACGCGCTATTGGAATTTTAAGTTGTATATAATTGTTTTATACTATTTAGTGTTTTAGTAAATTTACCGTTTTATTGATTTGCATTTGATTAGTAAATTTACCGTTTTATTGACATGCAGTTTTATTGATTTTAATGTATGTAACTTTACAACATTGTTTTAGAATTTTCACTATCTTATCTGATTTTATACGTGTGCTTTACTTAACCTCTTAATCTGTTTTTAAAACCGTGTGTTTGGCGCAGTATGTCGTTTTTTGGACCTTGTGCCACTAAACCCCACATTCAATCAATTCCCCAATGCCCACCTGTGTTAACATCCGTCAATTCAGGCATATACAGGGAGATTTTGTTGACCTCTCTTACAGGGGCACCATATTAGGTGGGCCAACGTCGCTCCCACAGTAAGGACAGATAGTACAGAGAAGGAATGAACATCCATGCCTTGCTCGGGATTCGAACCCAGAACCTTTCTGATGCAAGGACAGTTCCCTGCCCTCTACACAGGCCGGTCGGCACTTTAAACCCACTTATCTCAAAACATGATTTTTTGAGTTGTGCCACTATTGCAGCCCATGAGCGATATGGTTCTTTTTAATTTTAAGATCATATGGCCAGGGGTGAAAGCGATACGGAAAAGAGTAAAGGCTGGTAGTAAAACCAATTCAGTTATAGCTAGTTTTCGGGAGGAGTTTACTTATTCTTTTTTTAAACTATTCAACAATGTCTATTTTATCTTGGAGACCTAGTCCTAGTGTTTCGATTTTATTGGGCACCTGGGCCGCGAAGCGGCCCCTATCCCATTCATCTGGAATTTTAAAACAGTTTTGGTTGAGCAATGAGGTAAGCAGGCAATGGAGTTGCTATTATGAATGTTTCAAGCTCTTTGCTTGAATAACTAAAAAGGAATCAAAAATAAATTGAGCAGCTTGCTCTAAACTGTGTTTGTTTGATTTTGGAGTTGTTCAGAATTGTATCAGCATGAGTAAACGTTATTTTCAGAAAGGTTGATGATTTTATCTTGGAAAAGAAGCAGATTAATATATATGTTAAAATCATAAAAAAAAATCTTGATAGTTACAGATATTTTATTTTTCTCGAAAAAAATGCTATAATAAAATGTCTTTCGTACCAGTTTTTCCTCTTTTCCGTCTTGCTATATAAGGGCCCTCAGTCATGCATATGACATGTGCATACTAGGCATCAAGATGAATTCTCTTAGTACTCTCTTTAGTGCTCATATCACAATTATTTGTATTCTATCTCTACTCCTGGTCATTAGAATTTTATAATTTTTGCACTGTACAAACAAATTTAAAATGTGGATTTTTTCTTATTTTTTTATCTTATTGCTTTATGTTACATTTTATTTTGTTACATAAAAACTATAAGACTTAGAAACTCTAAATTACGAAGGTGAGAAGAAAATGTACTAGGTGTGTAGAAAGTTCGAAGGAATAAAAAATTTTACACTTCAAATATCAGTTTGAGATTTATTAATTGTTAAACTTGTAATAAGTATAATTTTGTAGAAAATATATTTAAAACACAAAAAGGATAAGATACCTAAAAATATCAAATGATAGTTTTCTCTTAATGGCGTTTCTTGTAACCATCTGTTCATTAGTTAATAACCTACTAACATCTTTCTTAACCAATTAATTTTATAAATAAAAGAAATTAATAATGCAGTTCCTATCCAACTAATTTATCAATTGTTGTTTTTAGTTGTTATCTGTTTGTATTGTCCCCTATAGTGTTGCCCTTTCCTTCTCTTTTCCTTTCAGTTATTTTAATTAACTCTTAATCAACTAATTGTAATAACAATCATTGCTTCAATAGGCCTCAGTGACCAGATAATCCGCGTGACTCATTATTAGTTTCCGCAGTTATCTCACAATGCCGCAAAGTGCTTTACAACGCCCAGTTATGTACACTGGTCTTACGAGATCAGTATGATCAGTGAAGTTTCTCCCAGCTATGTTTATCGGACTTTATTACAGTTGTTTATAACCTCAACTTTAATAAAACTATTTTAGATTTTTATTGTATTCAATTTTTAAGTGTTAAAAGGTACTCTTAAACATCTAAAACAGCTATGTGGGCGTCACATGTATGTTCGGCACATCTGTTGACGTTCTTGAGTTGTTTCTCAACTTAAAACTTTATAAACTGTTTTTTGATTTGAACAGAGCAAGTGAGCTTTTTATTTTAGATATTTACGTATATATATTCATAACTTCATAATGTTTTAACCCTTTCTAAGGCCGTGGGAAGTATACTTACCACCAATTTTAAACATCTATAGTAAACTATCTTACCACTTATGATGATGTAGTAGGTTTGTATAAAATTAAAGATCATGTGCCAGTTTTAAAAAATATGTATAATTTCTTTTGCAGGTTGAAGAATTTATGAAATTTATTTTATAAGTGAAAGTAAATGAAAGTCATTAAATTTATTACTTTGATATATCATCTGTAGGGAATCTACCACTACAAAATTACAATTATAATTCACTAGTATATAATACGTGTTAACTCGATTCTATGAGGGGGTACCTTTTCATAGATGAATTTTGACATTGTCGGTAACTTCTCGCCCTACATTGGTGATCTTCGGACTTGATGTTCACATGCCTACCTTGGCAGTAACGCACTCCCACTTCGATGGATGAACCACATTGAACAATTGACTTTCTACTTGTGACTGCGACATCAACCACCTCCTCGCACTGTTGCTACTCAGTCTCGTCTCGATCACATACAACGTTGGCTTGCATACACTCGACTGTTAACAGAAACACAGGAGCGACTACGACCGTGAAATTAATACACCTCTCACATTCAACACTCAAAAAGTACGGTGTTCTTAATACAGCTCTCCCGGCATCTCATAAAAACAGCAATGAATCAACTAGTGGTATCCGTTCATCGAATTCTATCAAAGATATAATTCTGGTCGGGGAGTACTGTTGGGAATCTACCACTACAAAATTACAATTCACTAGCATATAAGACGTGTTAACTCGATTCTATGAGGGGTAAGGTTGACATTGTTGATAACTACTCGCCCCACACATCTAATAGGTGGCCGTAAGCATTCGTATCCCAAAAAATAGAATTAAAATTTAGAACGATGTTTTTACTCCAGTTGGCCTGGTGAAGTGCTTCTTTTTTCGTTCGCTGGTCCTGAATGGGTTAATTCTCTTGTCATTTTAAAGGAGAATTTGCAAAACTCCGGCCAATTAGCATTCTTTCTTAAACTTACTTGTTGTGTTCAGTTTTTACAAGAAAGACCCACTTATGAAAAAATCACTAAAAATTAGAAAATTTTTATCATTTTTTCAAAACTCAACGTTTCTGCCTGATTGTCTTCCATTTTATCTGGACTTCTAGGACGATTAATTTTCTTCTTTTTGCGTTTTCTTTCAGGAGAGCGAGAGTTATTGTGGCTGGTTAATGAGTTGCCTGACATTACGTTCTGAAGTTTGGTGTCGTCATTAATTGCGCTTTAGTAAATTTGTTTGGAGAATGTTTCGATCATTATTTTTTGCATTGTTTGAGTTATGTGCTGAACTTGCTCTTTTATTACTTTAGCAATATTTGTGGTTAGGGTGGTTGCTAGTTCTTGGATTGCAGATTGAAATTCCTTTTTGGTTACGAATTTAGATGAGGGGTCGGATCCGGTGATTTGAGCGTAGGTGTTTTTTGTTTTTGAGTGGTAAAGGCGTCTGGCCTCTGCTATTGTAATATGGTTTTCTGCCTTCATTTTACAAATTTTTAATTCCTGTTGGTAATAAGAACATATTGTGTCTGTGCTTGGGTGAACTTCACCACAACGGGCACATTGTGCTCCTGCAGTGCATTTACGAGCGTCCACATCGTGTTGGATGGTCGAAGTGCTTGCATTTAAGGCACGCACGAGGTCTGTCTATGAATAATTCAATATTGTATATTTCGCACCAGGTTCTTATTTCTGCAGATATATTGTGGCCAAGAATAGTGACGAGGACAGTTGTTGTTGGAGATCTGTTCAGGTCTCTTCTAGTAAATCTAATTAATTCAAGGACATGTAGGTTTAAGTTAGCTGTAATTTCGGTAGCCAAAGATTCCAGGGATATTTCCGGTTCAATTCCTTTAAGCAAAATTTGGTACATAGGTGTTCATTTAGGATCTTTGTTTTTACAGGTATACCAAGGATTTCAGTTAATGAGATTGCATTTATTGCCGTGTCCAGTACGTTAGTACATAAAAGAAGTTGGTTTCGGCGTGTCAAATTTAAGTATTCTATTGGACCTTTAAGTTTGAAGTCAACCTTTTATTAGAGTTCAGCTGATTTTGATTTTGGTATGCTGGATTGACTATTTGTTGGTTTGACATATATAGTGTAACTTTTTACTCCATTTTACGTGTGCAAATTTCAGTTTCTTAACATTTGGTATTTCTGGAGAATATGAACTTAAGTTTCGGTTATCTATGGTTAGTTATTGAGCCCCTATGGTTCAAGTTTAACAAAACGTCATCCGTTCCTACAGCTAAGCAAAAACGTTTGACTTATGTAAATAAAGATAAAAACGACTTACTTGTCGGCATTGAAAAAAAATTAAAATAAAATATATCAATCCAGGGCAGGAAAAAACTGTGCGGAATACTTTTGCGTAGACTTCAAAGTAAAAGTTAGCTCAGTAAAGCGCTTCCAAATGTTTCTAGCACAGGAGCAAAACCGTGAGCTATTTAGATATAGTTGTTTACCTTTTGATGTCCGTGCCACGGGAATATGAGAAAGTTAAAGTTGCTTTAGAAAATCAACCGAATGAAAGTCTGTCCTTGGAATTTGTCTCTCAAAGACTGATATACGCTGAGTCTTTGTTGTTTGATTTCAAGGGTAAAAAGGATAAGTTTCTATCGGAAAATGTGGCTTTTTTCATGAAATCACCTGAAAATTCAAATTAACGCTCTGACTTATTTTCTTTATTTTGCAAGCGTAAAGAACACACAGCCAAATATTGTCACAAAAAGTTGACCTGTTTTAATTGTGGAAAAACAGGTCATATGAAGAGAGACTGTAAAAATCCTAAACACAATGAAACTAGCTCATCGGCAGCGTTTTCTTTTGTCATAGGCGATGTCAGTTGTGATAAGTTCATCATTGATTCGGAAACAACATCACACATGTGTTCGCATAAGGAATGTTTCTCGCCTCTCAAATCAATGTCAGGAACAGTAAAATGCACGTCGAAATCGTTCACCCTCATTATCGAAGGAATTAGTAAAAT